TCAAATGCATGTCTTTTGGATTGTGTAATTCACCATCCACATCAAAGGTGTATGACGTCTATATTTTTTGACATGTTGAACCTATACTTAAGATATTTATGGTGACTTGAATATTGTTGGTGATTATTTTGACAAATGTTTGATGAATCTTAGAAGGGCACTACTAGAATGTGAAGAGGTCAAGTTGGTACTGAATTGGGAGAAATATCACTTCATATTGAATAAGAGCATTGTGTTTCATTACAAGATTACTCAGAAGGGTTTGGAGGTGGATATGGAAAAGATTGAGGTTATTGAGAAATTTCCCCTATCATCTAATTTAAATGAATCAAAAGTTTTCTTGGTCATGGAGGATTATACCAATGATTTATCAAGGGCATTTCCAAGAATTCACACCCTTTGTGCAAATTGTTGGAAAAAAGTGAAGTTTACTTTTCATAAAACCTTCTTACAAGCTTTCAAGTGTCTAAAAGAGAAATCGATTTCGACATCGGCCAACATTGCTCTAGATTATTCTAAACCTTTTGAGGTAATGTGTGATTCTAGTGGTATATACTGGGGAGTTGTTTTGCAAAAAAAAGTTCAAAAAGATCTTGCACCCCATTTATTATGCGAGTAAGTCACTGAATAGAGCAGAAAAAAACTACACAGCCACAGAGCAAAAATTGATCGTTGTTGTCTATGTTTTCTTAGAAGTTCAGGGTGTATCTTTTGGGTACAAAGGCAATAGAGCACACACATTATGTTGCAACGAGGTATTTGATTATGAGGTCAAAGAAATAAATGGTAATTAAAACTAAGTAGTCGATCACCTATCCCCGCTTGAGGCTGAAAAAGAGATGTTGATGAGCTAGAAATTGATGAATGATTTCTAGTTGAACATGTAGTACACACAACTCTTCACCTTATTCCTTGTTTTTTTTCTTTTATAACTAACTTAGTGATATTATATCAAAAGACTTGATCTTTCAACAAAGAAACAAGTATTTGCATAATGTAAAAAATTACTTCTGGGATGATCTATATTTTTTCAGCTTGTATGTTGATAAATTGATTATATGATGTGTGCCTGAAGCTGAAACGTTGAGTATCTTAGAGTTCTGTCACTCATACCTAGTTGGAGGGAACCATGGTGGGGGTTCTCACTCCTCAAAAAAGTAATCTTGAGTGATTATTACTGCCCGACTATTCATAAAGATGTATATGATTTGCTAAAAGGTTGTGATATGTGCCAAAGGCGGGGAGAAATATCAAGGAAAATTAAGTTTCCTAAAAATCTAATCTTGGAGGTGAGGTTGTTTGACATATGAGCATCAATGTTATGGGAGTTTGTGAGATCTTATGATCAAAATTACATTCGTGGGGCAGTTGATTATGTCTCCATATGAGTAAAACTTGTGACATTAGCAAACAATGATGGGAGGAGTGTTGCTAGATTCTCAAAGAAGAATATTTTCTCTAGATTTGGTACCCTTGAAATGATTATTAGTGATGAGGGCATATTTTTACCATAAATTCTTCAAGACCTTATTAACAAATATAGAGTAAAGCAGCATAAAGTGACTACCCATACCATCCGCAGTTAAGTGGGTAAGCTGAAGTGTCAAATTGGGATATATAAATGATATGGACAAAGACTTTAAATTCGAATAGGATCGACTAGGCAAGGAAGATTCATGATGCACTATGAACGTTAATAGAAAACTTTCAAGACACCCATTAGTGTGTCACCATACAAGTTAGTGCTTGGAAATACATGTCGTTTTCCTGTGAAGCAAGACCATAAGGCATAGTGGGCATCAAAGAAGATGAATCTAGGTTGGGATGAGATTGCAAATCGAAGGCTAGATCAAATAAATGAGATAGACGAATTCTAGTTGAAGGTGTTTGGAAGATCTGCTCTCTACAAGGAGAGGATAAAACTATACCATGACCGGTGGATTAAGAAAAAGGAATTAAATCATGAGGACTTGGTGCTCTTTCTTAACTCGAGACACTAATTAATTTTGGACAAATTAAGATCCACATGGTTAGATTTGTTTAGAGAGGCACAATTTTTCCATTCAAAGCTTTAATATCAAAAGGTAAGAATTTCAAGGTGAAAGGACAGAGGGTTAAGAAATATATAAAGATGCCAGAAGGGGTTTAGGCAATGGAATTTGTGTAACTTGATAAAGTCTGAGTAATCAAGATACTTGAGTCATGCCGCGACGTTAATCAGGTGTTATGTAAGAGGCAACTGAAAATTATATATATATATATATATATACACACACACACACACATTA